CATTGATATAAACCAAGTTTGGATAGTTTCACATAACTGCGATAGTTATGCAAAAGTTTTCCGGTTAAAAAAAAATTTGCTGGTTGAGTAAAGTATAAAGTGGTATTCAATATTTTTTTTTTGCTTTGGCTTTGAAAGACAAACATAAATTTGATGATATCTAGCAAACCAGCTATTCGTTACCCCTTGTATCGCTTCTTCTTTGACGATCGAATTTAGAACTCAGATGATCAAAAAATTTACTCACTTTACTGCAGCTAGCAACGTTCAAATAATGCTTGAAGGAAACGTAGCCTTAAAGAAGATGATTCTTTTAGCAGTAACATTTCAATAACAGAATCGAAGAACACTGTTTAGTAGATGCTGTCGCAAGTACGGGTTACATTATGCAAAATGTTTTTCACAAGTAAAGGTGTTTCTTTCGTTGATACAAAGATTCTCGAGTATCTTCTCACTGTCTATTTCTGCTTATTTTTGTCTACCTTAATTACTGTCTTTGTCTATGATTAATAAAACTTTATTAATTACAAAATATTGCAGCAAAAAAATTTACTATTATAAGAGTTAAGTGCTCTGATCGTTGTCAAAACTTCCTCACTTCTTCTAAAAGTGAGCTTTAAAGTACACGCTACTTTTCAATCCATCTATGCCATTAAAGCAACTTGTTGCTTGCTCCCCAAACAGAGTGTTTTGCAAACTTGGCAAAAAAATTATATGATTCTTTTTTTATTCAGAAGTTTCAGTAATTTCGCTGCAAATATGATTAATTAGCCAACCGGTTAAAGTAACTACTTTATAGTTCATCAAATCAAATGCCAATGGTGACCGAAAAAAAATGAGAACCCAAGATTTGGAGAATTAGGCTTAGAAATAAAGATTTTTCTTTTTATAACGCAGAAATAATGGTTTCTTTCCTGCTCACTTTATCTGATTCAGCTACCGCCACAAATTACTACTTATCCGCACTAACAAGATGATTTATGAGAGAAATCTGCTGATTTACAAATTTAGCTTTAGACCTCTCTAATCCACAAAAAACCCAAAAAACCCAAAAAAGGCTATTATACACTAGTGGAAAGCCCGCTGTCCGCTGCCCTTCTCGTAACACTTTTGTTTCATTCTTTTACTTTTAATTTTCTACAAATTTTTGTTTATAACGTAAAAAAGCAATTTTCTAGTCATTTACTAAATTTGTAAAAAGAGAGACTAATGTGAGCGTAACCATCCAAGAAACTTTTTATAGTACTTGAAAAGTCTTTCTTAAAAAAAATAGTGTACGAACATAGTTTACAAGACTTTTAGACAGAGATAAATCGTCATAAAGCAACCACTTTTCAAGTAAACCGACTCACTTTGATGACCAAAACAAAGAGCGGTCATTGAGGTCAGTCTTGTGGCATGACTAAAAAAACGGTTTTAAAATCAAACTATTACTTGAGATGAAAACTGATTTTTCTTGATAATCAAAAGGTAGCAGACAGTAGATAGATATCAGTTGATTATAGCCGAATAAGACAGCGAAACTCCTACTAGCACGCGAATTGCGAAGAGAGGAGTTATACGGCCAGTAGACGAAATCGTCAATCGGCATGTTTCAAATATAATTTTAAGAAGCCGAAAAGCTTGAATATAGTTTTTTGCTGTATTCACCTTACAAACCTTTAGATGTTGATCATGCTGTTTTAGAAATCTTTGTTTACTCTTTGACAAACAGAGACTGCGTGATTCAAAGCAGTTAAAATGTCTCTCGTAAATTTTTGACCTTCAGTAAATTTAAAAGTTAGTGAAGCGCTAAAACAGACGCTGCTTTTGCATTTCTTCTGTATCTTATTTTTTTTAACATATTTAATTCGGCAAAAATTTATATGTTAAAATAATAGGTTAATAAAGACTTTGAAAAAAATTCGATTACCCGATATTGTACTCCCGTCGTCAGAAACTCCATTGTTATCCGGCATTTTCATGCATAAATATTTGGGTAAGAACTGCAAAAAGACAAATCTTTTCCATCGTGACAGCGCTTGAGCTGAAGCATCTCTAGAAAGCAAATTCTTCAGAATTGAAATTTTAAGGATATTCTTTTGCTACAGATGCGTTTTACTGCTTTTGATCAGGAAAGTTCTTATCCAAAATTTCTTCAATTACTCCTCGTCAGCAGTTTTTGGTTTACAAGGAATTATCAAAATAATAAACCTTCGGTAAGTATTAAGTATAATGACAGAAGAGACAATTGACGCCCACACAAGTATCATTGTAAAAAGTAGATATTTGCCGATCAACGGAATAACTAGGGATGTTGGTGGAATAAGCTCGACTAATACCAAATAAAACACTGATAATGAAACGAGAATCATAATTGTAAACGTCATTTTATGCTCGCAAGGAGGAATAACAAATACAAATGTTGTCAAAATAGCTGCAATAAAAGTCGGTAAGAAGTTTGCAGAAGCAAAAAACAGCCACATTCTCCAATAAATGCATTGCGTAGTTTACTTCTGAATTCTCATTCCTTATGCCACGTGAAGTATTTAATAAATCTTCTGTGAGACTTTAAAAAATGCTTTAAGAATAAAGTAACCTATTAGAACGCAAGGAATAACCAAATTGACGGTATAAAACAGAGTCTTTCTACGAAAAACAATTTCGTATGTAACATCCATCCAAAAATTTTGCCCACAACAGCCAGGATAAGACTGTTCGTGACGATGACTGCTAAGGCTGATCAAATCCCATTCGGCACTCCTGCAAAAAGATTCCCTTTGGCAGGAAGTTGTTAGCAAATGATCAAAGTTGGTAAGGATCTTTTAAAGTCAACTGCAAAAAAACCAACTGTATTTTAATGTTCAAATTAAGCTAAAGCTGAATGCTGAATATATGACATACGGATAATAAGAAGATAAGTCCATGCCTTGTTCCAGATAGAGAAACTGATTATTTTCTTTGTCAGTGCACGGCCGAATAACATCTGTTGGATTCATCTGAACTACTCTTTAATCACTAATTTGATTTGTATATTGCAGCATATTTGCATAGCCAACATCAACTTTAATTTGTTTTTACTCAATATGCAAAGTAAAATCTTTCAAAGTGATATAAGTCCAATTGTT